CACAAAGGAACACAGACCATAACGCAACAAAGAGCACAAACAGACCAATAGATTCACTGAATTCGTTAAACTTCAAGTAGCCAATCACGTCAGAAGATAACAGGTAGCCTCCGAATGCTATATAAACACACACAGGCAAGGAAGAAGTACCCATCCAACTGCGCACTGATGATGTCTCCTCGTATGGTGCAAGGCAATTCTCAAATTCGGCGAGCAGATCAACAGCCATCTGATCAACAACCAATAAACTCACCCGAGCTACCAATATTTCGCCACATTATCGTTAGATCTGCATAAAACCGAACGGGAGACCAACCCGCAAGACTATATTCATCAGGAAAATCAATCCAAGTCTGTTGCCCGCAGCTACGGAAAGAATTACAGTGGATAGACAGATGACGCACGACGGAGCTGACTCCAAACTGTGTAATCGTAAAGTCATCAGGACAATCGTGAGTTCACAGACCGACTCGAAATCCTGCATCGTAGATATCTAACCGGTCAAATCAGAATAAGCGGTAAACTGAAAACAGAGACAATAAAAGTTGCGGCGACATGTGAGGCTACGCCGATCCAGACTATATCTTGATGCAATCGACTTGGTTATTATGGCACTGCTAAACACTGTCTCTGACAACTACTGTACACATCCACAGCTTAATTGCTCAATTAAAATTGACCAAAGAAACAGCGTTAAGAGCCTATTAGAGTGTTACTAACCCCACTGTTTTCAAAAAAGTTTGGCGACAATCAGCAGATTCATTGCTGGGCAACGTTTCGCTTTTGACACAAAAGCTTCGTCAGACCAAGTGACTGGGTTCCGGGGTTGGTCGAGATTTAAGGCGGAAGGACAACCAATCAGCAAGTCAAGCTAAATCTCTGTTGGGTGTCGGCTGGGTTTTTTTGTGTTTTGGAGTGGTTGAACAAGTATTGGATTGGTGGGAAACCTACGTGTGCTTGGGTCCAGTCTAGGGTCTAGTTCTTCTGGTTCGTTTCATTTGATGTTAATCCAATATTGTAAGTAGCATGTTCCATAGAAAATAACTGTTGGTTTGCCGAGCAGGAGAGCACGAGCGATTATGCTCTCTGGACGGTGATCTTAAGGCAGGGAGTATAAGATCACCGTGCTCGGATTGGCACCAAGAAACAAACTTTTGGTTCTAACAAGTGTTAACGATGTTCAACGCGCTAGGTCGACAAGTGCTTCCAGTGAAACAAACCCCAAATTAGGAATTTTAATCCCAGAACATTGGATCTCTTGAAGTAGGAGTCCAGTTTTCAAGTTTACATTTCTGGAAATTCCAGTCAGGCGAAACAGAAACGGTCAGCCCCTACGAGGAAACCCTATGGTTAAGCATACGACTTATCGTTGGTAGATTGCCTCACGTAACATAACCGTAATACACTTAGATCGGGGGATCTGAGCTAATGTTTCAAAGAGGTGAATTTATAACGAACATCTCGGAAACGACACCTGTTTGATCGTTTTTAAACACTCTCCAAAGGGATGAAAATGGGTTGAGATGGGTCCGTTTATGAGTCTGTGTGCAGGGATGGGCTCGTAGACATAAATCTAACAGTTGGTTCCTGTGGCGTAAACCTCGGTAACAGAAATCGATGGTTTTCGAGAAATACACTCATTTGCAAATCAATTTGGTATTCACGAAGGACTCGACTGAATCTCTCGTTTATTATATTCTACAACTGAATATGCCAGCTCATGTTTCAGTTGGCACGATATTCAAGATATCGCAGTATATTTTCATAAAGGAAACTACTCGCAAGGTCGCGGAAAACTCTTCGACGGCCCACGACCGGTTTCGCTCTTCTTGGGGTTCATTAGGTAGGCGCAGTCCCCGAGTTTCCGTCAACCTTATGTTCCACTTGAACCCAAATTGGACTGTTTTCGAGAAATACACTCAATTACCAATCAATTTGGTTTTCACAAGAGACTCAACTGAATATCTCGTTTATGACATTCTACAGTTGAATGTTCTGCACACAGACCGCCTCATGTTTCAATTGGCACGATATTTGAGATATCCCCGTATATTTTCAACAACCTTGTGAGTAGTTTCCTCTACGAAATCAATGGTTGTTTGTCGAGCGGCAACTCCTCTTCTCACCTATGACAAGCTCAAATGTCACTTGTGTCACTCAAATGCTTCCACAGGTGTACGTATTTGTCAGGGCGTGCTCAGACAGAAGAAAAAGCACATGTGCAGAGAGGAGAGTGACGCATCCCCAAGGTCATCATCGGTTCGACACGTCCGGAAAGTAGGTGAGTTGACGGCTGTCACCAAACGGCTTAGCAACACACGACCAGCGTAGTGGGTCTGAGAATGTTTACGACCGGAACACCAACATTGGCTATACGGAGCGAACAAGTGAACGAGCATATTTGGCCAATTAGTCACCCTATATATATTTACGCAGACGCTCTGTACGTTTTCTCCTGGCAATACAGCCGTGTCCGTAGTTCTCTGTCTTCTCCCTATCGCGTAGCCTGGCAGGCGCAGTGCAGGCGTAACCCCATAGATCGGCCACCACCGCACAACACAACAGTATGCAAAAGAACAACAGGCGTTTGTATCACTGGGATGCCGGAACTTCAATATGACGTGACCTCGGCTGGCGACTATCTATCGCGGCGTCACAGAGGCCAATAACGGAAAAGCAAGAACACATATCCGGCATAATTACCACACTTGGATGAGGATTAGACGATCAGGTCAGATGAGTTCAAGGTCACGTGCACGTATGCGTAGAAAAGGAAAATCAGCTGAATTGAAGAAAACCAAATGAAAAGGGATGAGCGAAAGGCAATGCAAATAATGAAATATTACAATCAATTCGCGTGTATCCATCCACATGGCGGAGGAAGATTGAGAGAAATAAAAACAAACAAATTGGGTCGGCGAATGTCTGTGTGTGTGTGTGAGCGGACAAAGTTTGGCATAAAGCAATCCTTCACTGGCGGTAACGAAGCTTGTGGGTGATTAGGGTTGGTAATCTGGGAATAACGCATTCTTTCAACAGACTAGTTGATTAGCGGAGTAACTCTGATCTGATATTGTTTTGTACGGAGGGAACTCGAACAGGGAATGGGAGAAATGGTCTGATATCGTTGCGCTGGATGGCATGGAAATTTTCACTGGAAAGAGGGGGATAAAACGAAATAAAATGATAATATAACATGTAACAGGTGATGCAAGTACTCAAAATATCCACTATTCGACAAATGGGCTGCACACGTCACTACTCCCAGTTCGGATAAACTGAGCCAAAATTTTCCAAGACAGATTACTACTGAGGAGAGATATTTCCTGAAGCAAGTTTGACAACATTCAATCATATTGTAAACAAACACAGCAGGGTGCAGTCACGTGAAGTCGTGAAAGCGAGATTGGTTCGATGAACGTTTCAAGTTTTGGAAACAAAGAAATGAATATACGGCACAAAAATTTCGCGTTGCAAGTGTGTAATCGTGGAGATGAGGGGTGAAACCCAATCAGACGTAAACGGAGGATGAACAGAGGGCATAGAAATCGAAGACTACTTTGTCAAGGTCATGCAAACACCTCGATATTCCTGTAGACTAAGTCCTATTAGTCCAAATAAAATGTTTTCCGACCACTGCGATAGTAACTGGACTGGTGCTATGTGATCGAGACGGCAAAAACATCGGTGGTATCAGTTTTGAAACGTGAGGGAGGTGTGTCTACTTGGAATGGGGAAGGCGTGACACTGTGTCGGTGAACAGCAAATGGACTGGCAACATCAGACCGCGTGGAAGACTCGACTATATATACTGATCCATTCGATCTGTTGTTGGTAACTCTGACTGTGGACAGGGGGATGAGATATAATTGGAGAAATCAGCTTTCCAGGGGATGGAATCTGCCGGGTCCCGTCAACGTATTGGAGTTCCAAGCTTACGTTCACGACTGAGAATATCAAAGCTTATGATTCTGATAATCGAGTTGCACTATAACAACGCTCAGCACACACCTTACTATTGAGGTAGTCGGACACTTGTGAAGCGATCACTTCCCCTTTTTGCTGCAGGCACGTCATATTCTACGAATAATATTCCAATGAAATTCGACTAAATTTTTCCCGTTTCACTGAACGGAATTTCTGACATCAAGCAAGGTGTTATTGGTTCCTGGCAGTATACACAGTAAGTGACAGATTGGAATGGTTATGAATTACTACTGAAGAGATGAACATATATCAAGCTTGTATCGAATTAGGTATCCAAGTAACTCCGTCTTATTAAACACAGCCCAAACCTACACAATGTTCTGTCAGGAAGAAGCCCGTATATATGAGGCTTCCATTCAAAGGTGACTCGGTCGCTGAGCTAAGCACTGAAGACTTAGAAACTCTGTTCGTACGACATACTTGTCCGCTAATCTGTGTTTGAGCTTCAACTCCAGCCCCACTATCAAATTCCGCTTGAAAGACAAATTGCCACGTTCTACCACCAGCTTTTGTGTGTACTCATTTGTATGCTCGTGCCGATCATCATATGTTGGTCGTACGACAAGAGAACACAATCCCGCATCTCTGAGTGGTAGTGGGAAGAAACCAGGCTCAAGCGCGATTGCATCACATTTGACCGAAACCTGCCATGTCATAGACAAGGAGCAAGCCTTCACCATTGTATACCGGGTACCTCCGAACCGATCACGACTGGTACGATCCAAACTACTATCGATCGCAGAAGCGACTGGAATCAGACTGCTGGATCCGAAACTTTGCATGCAAAAGAAACTTGTGCGACCTCTGAACTTGAACTGGCCTACGAAACATCCGGGCCCACAAGTCCGTCCGACATTGACGTCACTTACCTGATTCCGTGACCCTCTCCCTCATCCAAACTCCCCCTTCCTTTGATTTCCATTTCTCTACAGTGTATGTAGCCCCGATGTTAACCCCTTCCACGTGATCTCTGCTACCATATAATTTGTGATGTTATTAGCCAAGATGAAAAATCATAGAAAACAAGCTTTGTTCGCTACCTTCTTCGTTCTCAAGATGTGGAATACCAAACAACCATTACATAAGAGAATGAGTCGGATGAAACGTACTCTTGCGCTGTTTGGCTTAGGGACATTCGAAGGAAGCCGAATACCCGTCTTCATCTCTCCAGTCGGTATCCCAGAAGTAGCGACGACCGGTCGCCTCAGTCCGGATGGAGAATGGCCATTGCCGTTCGTCGTAGTTGGTGGATTGCTTCCAAGATGTGGCGTGAGTGATGGAGGACGAATAAAACTTTGCTGTTGTTCAGGAATTAGCTTAGATTTAACGGTGACAGATGGTGGCCGAATACCGCTCATTCTAGTCTCAGGAGACCCCACAGAAGCACCGTTTGACGTGTGACCCAGGTGCACATCTTTGGGTACTTCAGTATCCTTGTAGACTAACGGCGCTGTAGAAAGGTGTGACGTGGAGGATGGATCAGATCCATTCAGCTCCGGGCGAACTCCTGGAGCAGGTAATTTCGAAACAATCGACCTCTGGGGAGGTTCAGGCGAAGGACCTCCAATTCTTGGTTTGATACTAGGTGGTCTAATTCCGCTTTGGGGTAAATAAGGCGACGGTGCAAAAACTGACACAGCGCTTGGAGGAACAGCGAAGGTCGATGGGTATGATGTGGCTGGGGAAGGGTCTGTCGGTGGCGGTGGACTAAATTGAGCAGCAGGGGGCGGTAAAACTGACGTGGTGGTGACCGATGCGAAAGTTGCATTGTCCGTACTTGGTGGAGGCTTCCACGGCGAAGGTAGAATGATTCCTGAATCACAGACAGCGTCTAAATTCGACTGGAAGGTAGTCGACTTCGCCGTAGTTTCATTCGAAAGCGCGCAAGGACTTGGGAAATCAGCAGCAGCAGCAGCAGCTGATGGTGGCGTTCGGGGCACAGCCGACTGAATTGATTCGCGGGTCGACGGCACAGAGATCGGTGACTACCAGGGTGCAGAACGCGTGAAAAAAGTTTGACTGTGTTAATGCTGTTTCCTCTAAAGCTACTGGTTGTTGTTAAAAGTAGGTTGTCCCTAATTAGGACGTCACTTACCTGATTCCGTGACCCTCTCCCTCATCCAAACTCCCCCTTCCTTTGATTTCCATTTCTCTACAGTGTATGTAGCCCCGATGTTAACCCCTTCCACGTGATCTCTGCTACCATATAAATTTGTGATGTATTAGCCAAGATGAAAAATCATAGAAAACAAGCTTTGTTCGCTACCTTCTTCGTTCTCAAGATGTGGAATACCAAACAACCATTAGATAAGAGAATGAGTCGGATGAAACGTACTCTTGCGCTGTTTGGCTTAGGGACATTCGAAGGAAGCCGAATACCCGTCTTCATCTCTCCAGTCGGTATCCCAGAAGTAGCGACGACCGGTCGCCTCAGTCCGGATGGAGAATGGCCATTGCCGTTCGTCGTAGTTGGTGGATTGCTTCCAAGATGTGGCGTGAGTGATGGAGGACGAATAAAACTTTGCTGTTGTTCAGGAATTAGCTTAGATTTAACGGTGACAGATGGTGGCCGAATACCGCTCATTCTAGTCTCAGGAGACCCCACAGAAGCACCGTTTGACGTGTGACCCAGGTGCACATCTTTGGGTACTTCAGTATCCTTGTAGACTAACGGCGCTGTAGAAAGGTGTGACGTGGAGGATGGATCAGATCCATTCAGCTCCGGGCGAACTCCTGGAGCAGGTAATTTCGAAACAATCGACCTCTGGGGAGGTTCAGGCGAAGGACCTCCAATTCTTGGTTTGATACTAGGTGGTCTAATTCCGCTTTGGGGTAAATAAGGCGACGGTGCAAAAACTGACACAGCGCTTGGAGGAACAGCGAAGGTCGATGGGTATGATGTGGCTGGGGAAGGGTCTGTCGGTGGCGGTGGACTAAATTGAGCAGCAGGGGGCGGTAAAACTGACGTGGTGGTGACCGATGCGAAAGTTGCATTGTCCGTACTTGGTGGAGGCTTCCACGGCGAAGGTAGAATGATTCCTGAATCACAGACAGCGTCTAAATTCGACTGGAAGGTAGTCGACTTCGCCGTAGTTTCATTCGAAAGCGCGCAAGGACTTGGGAAATCAGCAGCAGCAGCAGCAGCTGATGGTGGCGTTCGGGGCACAGCCGACTGAATTGATTCGCGGGTCGACGGCACAGAGATCGGTGACTACCAGGGTGCAGAACGCGTGAAAAAAGTTTGACTGTGTTAATGCTGTTTCCTCTAAAGCTACTGGTTGTTGTTAAAAGTAGGTTGTCCCTAATTAGATATTTCTGAGAATAAACAGTTCAGTACCGTACGCAAGTTTAGGTTTTGAATCAAAACCAGTAATCAACGACCGTTTAGTACGCATTACGACTTATGGCATTATGCACTTTGCACACACTGCTGACAAGGTCTATGAAAAACAATATCAAACTAATATCCTCGGTGTTTGGCTGACCGCATGGTGGACTCAAATCATAGTCCACAGGACGGAATGGGAAGATGACAGCATACAATATCTGATTTATTCCAATAACGGATCCATTCAAATTTGTCATGCACGGCTCGGGACAGCTTAGTTGTTAAGGTGCCAATTTACGGACCAGATGGTCTATGGTTCGAACCCAACCTCAGCCTGGCAGTAGCTGAGCCCTCATGCCTCCTTCAAGCGGCGTAGCCGCTAGTCACCGAAAGGCTATTAAAGCTGAACTAATAGAATGGGAGAATATCTCGTGCGCGGCCCAAGATGACAAAATCCTCCGAAAATTTTTCAGTAGCGTGTTGGTGCTCAGAAAGTTCATGTAATGATAAAAATAATCGTTCAACCGTAAGATGCTTTCGGCGCATAGTTGCCATACCACACTAAGGAAGCACGAGGCGTGGTGAACTGTCAGATTGCCCGAAGCTGGACAGGAGCAGTTGGGATGTCGAGGTTAGAATTAAACGACGGACCTGCCGGTTAGTAAGCTCACGTCTTCAACAGTCAACTGTCTGGAGCCCAGGAATTCCTGTGCAATTGGCCTCGCAGCAACTGATTCAAACTGACATTCCACGAAGCAGTATGTATACCTGGGTGAAGTAAAACTGGGTGATGCCACTTGAAAGCAAACGGTATTTGAAGAGGCGGCACGAGTTATGACGTCTACTTCAGGTCCCCGTTCCATCGCATACACTGAAGGACGCATGAACTTCCTTTCAGGTTTCTGTGTCAAAAGAATGTTCAACTTTAGCGAATGTACACTCATTTGCAAACTAATCTGGTTCTTCGAGAGACTCACCTGGAACCCAGCTGAATCTCTCGGTTTTGATGTTTCCAGACAACTGAATGTGCTGCACCTGGCCGCCTCATGTTTCAGTTGCTACGATATTCGAGATATCGCGATACATATATATCTTTGTACCGCACTACTCATAAGGTTGCTGAAAACTCGTCGAAAGCCCACGACCGGTTTCACTCTTCTTGGGGCTCATCAGGCAGGCGCAGTCCCCGAGTTTCCGTCAACTTTATGTTCTACTTGAGACCAAAATGCACGAAATTATCGAATATACACTCATTTGTAAACTAATTTGGTTTGCTTGGAAACATCAAAACCGAGAGATTCAGCTAAGTTTCAGGCGAGTCTCTCGAAAATGAAAGCGTATGGAAATGGGGACTGAGAGCAACAAGTGTACGTTTCACACATCAATTACTTCATTGCTAGTCGACTGACAGTAATGAAGAAACCAATCGATGACATGAAGTCAACGATGCATTAGGAAAAGCTGAGAACGTTGTGGTCAAGCAGTCCGATAGTTTGCACTCGACAAAGCTCAGGTGCAAGCGCTTCATCACCAGTCGGGGTGATATCATCGGTGCGTTGTGAAAGACAAGGTGTGGTTCTTGCGTGTATGTGTTGTCCATCCACTCAGGTCAAGCTTAACTGATCACTGGTCATTCGTTCCTATTGGCTCTTTGATCGACTTTCTGACCGGCTGATCTTGAGACCTAACCTCTCCGCGGAGTGACCTGAGCTACCCATATTCTCCTCAATTTCAATCATCAGAAGGGAATTTCCGATCAGCTATGGGGTATCAGGGAAGACTAAGGGTGAGTCGAAGCGCTTCCACATCCTATAACCATGAAGTTATAGATCTTTCATCCGAACAGGTTGGCGATCAATGCACAAATGGGGATTTAGGGACCAATAATTTTGGCGTTCCTCTTATCAAAACATGGCGGGAAATTGATTATGATTGCGCGGCAGTTAAATTTCTTCATATAAAAGTAATGGAACATGTAACAGATTTGGCGACTCAGTAATACGAACTTGGAGAACAGCAATCATTCGGAATCGGTTATAGATCAAAGAGCAATGTAAAGCTGGCTTAAACTCGTTGGATATCATCAGAAGTATCCACCTCATGAACCCCAAGACCAAGATCAAGATCATAAGCTTCTGGGTGCGAGAGTGAACACTACCACACTGTCATGGGTAGCTGAACTGCAGCATAACTACACAAGATAAGCAATCTGTCCAGAGAGGAAGGTATTATCAGGTTGTATGCACATCCCAATAAAAAAATGATGAGTCGTGAAGTCACCTAATACCAAAATCACATCATGTTAGCTGCCGGTTGATGAAGGATAGATCGGGGGATTGAATCTCACACTCTGGATTCACAATAAGGACAAAAGAGTAGTGTCTCTGGGATTATCAGTCTAGTTCCCAAGTGAAGTGTCTAACAGACCTCATTCACTGGGCAAAAAGTTTCGTCCGTTTGCACGTAAGAAGCGAAAACCACCAGACAGCGTATAAGTCATGCACTCAGAAAAACTCTGCGTAAAATGCTATTTTCAACTGAGATTTCGTCCTGTCGATGAAGTTAATGCACGGCAAAAAACCAAGAGGCACTGTACTGGGAATCATCAGCCGTGCGCATCTCACGAAGCTCCAGTGTGGCTCCCGCGCTATTTTCAACTGAGATTTCGTCCTGTCGATGAAGTTAATGCACGGCAAAAAACCAAGAGGCACTGTACTGGGAATCATCAGCCGTGCGCATCTCACGAAGCTCCAGTGAGTGTGGCTCCCGCAAGCTTTCGGCTAGCAATCCGAACACTTGACGGTTCAGTAGAGAGCGGTCGATGAACAGTGTGAATTACTCTCACTTAGGATACTGCACCCTCGAGTGACGAATTCTAAGATGGAAGTTCCACTCACCTCTTGAAGTTATTCTTACTTTGGGCTACTTATAAATAGATGATAACATGAGATTTCATCCCTTCGCAAATCTAAGCTAAGAAGCTGAGAGCTAATCACACTGCCATTCAGTCACACTCGTAGCCGAACAGTGTCCAACTACTAGCCGGAAGGTCGCAAGTTCCTGGAGGTCCGTGAGATACCCCCTGCCAATGATTTCTATTAATCGTGAAACAGTCAGTGTTTTTCGATTTTTCGGCGGGACGAAGTCCTAATAAAAAATCACCAAATGTTCTCACGCTATCAGTTTTGTTAACGCACGCTGATGAGACTTGTGTGGTATTAAAAAAACGGGGAAAACAGCAAGACGCACCTGAGCCGTGAACGAGGGAGCGTTGTCTTCCAAAGTGTTATGACTGGCGAAAGTGGATACAGGCTGCTGAAGTGGCAGACCCAATATGTGCCGATCATATGCTTCTCCCTCGCTGGAAGGGGAGATCACAGGAGATGTATTACTAGTTGCCGCACCGAAAGAGCCCACGGGTGACGTTCTGATAGGTATTTCGGTCACTACGGCGTCCTCCGCTATGGGATGGGACTGTGAAGAATTGCTATCGACCCGTATTGTCTTTTGTGAAGCGTTATTGGCTGTATCGATTCTTGGAGAGCCAGCTGACGGTGAACTAAGTTTCAAGGTAGTCACAGGAGCAGAATCTACTGCACCCCTAGGAACAGCTACGGAACCATCGTTCGGCTCAGACTTTTGGTCCATTTTCGACCCAGTGGTAGTCAACCCCGTCGAAATGTTGACTGGTGGACTGCGAGTATCCATGACTTGCGATGGACCTTGTGATTCTTCGGCTGACAACTTCAGGGACATGGTAACAGACGCTCTGACGGACGGCTTTTCAAAACTACAACGAGAAAGAATGAGTTATCGCGAAACAGCATTCCCCAGCAAATCGAAAACGGAAACTGAGAATTCAGGGAAAAGTCATACGAATACGATTTCCAGCATGGTGGATTAAATAAGAATATTCGTCTCCCGTCTGGTCAAGAAGTTGGTATGCGTGGCTAGTCACGTGAGGTTTTCAGTAACAACCAGCTGATTACCACTTCACGGATTTCATTCATAACCCAACAGTGGAAACGTTGACCCGTCGGAAAGTCAGAATGACAGAACACCCTGGTAACCAATATTAAATTCTGGGAACAAGGTACATCGACAAGCATCAACACTATAAGGAATAAACACCGCATTCAGTTATGTCCGCCAGATAATACGTAGCGGTTTACTGCTGCTTTGATTTGCGATGAATTCCCGGGTAGATTTACTGGCGGAAACATCACTTACCAGGCCTGACGAGAGTTCACCTGCGAGGCGCAGCAAAACAACTCAATAAGGTCAACCAAGCGCTATGTGGCCAGTGAACCTAAGCTGTCCGTCCGTAACACACAGGCGCACATAATCAAAGCGCGTTCACGTTGGAAACAACCTTCATATTTTCAGGGATGCCCCCGACTGACCAATTAGCTTGAAGATGGGTTTCCAGTTGATTTGGCACTGTCAATTGAAACCTGATTGACCGGGACACAAGGTTGATAAAACATAAGCTACTCATAAACTGTGAGTAGCAAAATATAACGAAACATCTGCTGTTGAAGCATGTTTTCTCGGGTATTCACTTCCATGTCAGATACAGAAATCAATGAAAACATACAGACAATTGAAATAACCATACTCGTGGTCGGATTTTCTATCAGCCATCGACGCGAAGGTCGACAGAGCTGCTGACGGCTCCTCATAGCCATTCGATGTGTCTTCCGGCAAGGACCCCATTTTTATCCTTGACCTCATCGCGTTGAACATCGTCTCGTCTAGTTCCTTCGGGCGATTAGCCTTTTTGGTTGCTGTGTAAGAGGTTGTATCGGTGCCAGAAACATCCGCTGAGGCTGTTACCGGATAGCCAGCAGAAGGAGAGAGAGAAACGGGCTGAGCCATTGTGGGTTTTATGCCCATGAAATAGGCCGAATTTGTTGCCGTAGGAGACGAAGCACATGAAGCCAGTACAGGCCTTGATGAGTAGGGTAGGTAGGTAGGCAAGAAAAGAGTGGACCATTTGGTCATCTGGATGAAACGGAGGTTCCAAAAATAGCACAGACAAAAACATGATGAAGTAATCCAAGTGATAAACCAATTGTCTCTCGACATGAAAGTGAAACTTCGCGCATGGTTAACCAAGACAAAAAGAAACGAAACTGAGTGTTGTCCTTAATATAACACCTTCAACAAAAGTGAGGCAACTTACCGTGGGCTACATGAGTGGCGAAGCAACCGCTTTGGTTCAACAGCAACAGCAACCCCAAGTGAAAAATAGACGACCCTACGCAGAAGTCCACTAGTCCAGCCTTTCTTTTACCTCTCTACTGCAACAGTGTGACCGTAGTACGGTAAGCTCTGCAATACTACTGAATTCACTCATATTTTCAGGCCCTACGAACAGGTAGACAGCCGGCACAACTGAGGTCCAAATATGCGTTCGCTTTGATGACGTAACAGGCCATAAACACTCGATACCAGTGGCGACTTCGCCCACCATAGCGTGTGGGTTGGGGAAGGAAATAAAACAAGTAGTTTATAGCATCATCAAAAAAGCAGAATGAGAAAAAGAGCGTCAACGACATTTCGGTGGGATGCAGAAGTTTAAAGTGGGGTTGTTTAGAGGTTAAACAGAACAACAAACAAAATGACTGTCTGGTGTTGCCGGTGGGTTTGGTGATATCCAACTGGATGGTTGCGCGACAAATGCCCAGAGAATTACAGACCGAAAGATCTCCCTCCCCCAGGATTGAATCGGCAGCCATAAACTCCTCGAACTTTAGCACCCTTTTGATGTTGCTTTCGATAGTTAATTGGTGTATCGTGGTCGTCAGATTCTGCAGAGTATTATCATCAAACACAGTAACATCCGCGTCGGCATAGATGTTTTACCGCTATACCGACACAATGTTTATCCAAGCTTTAAGGTGAAAAAAGACAGATTAGACACAGTTCTGGCCAATCACAAACATCCCGGGATGCGTTCAGACACTCATTCAGACAACCTGGACGTAATATGGCAGCAAATAATATCACCGAGTGAAGCGTCGAATTTGTAGATCAAGTGCACGACCGAATTTATTACAAAACTAAACTGTATATCGCTTATCCATGATCCAATATAATCAAATTCTACGGTAAATCAAGGTTCAAAATTTAAAATGTAGTAAACTTGGATTGTTAAACCTCAAAAAGTGGAATAAACCACCAACAACGTGGAGTCTGGGACGAACGGATTTGTGGTCCAAGATAATCGATCATATCTCCCTTTCTGCCACTTCCGTTTGTTTGTGTTGTTCAAGAAAAACGTAACACCTTTTCGGCGCCTAACTGTCATGCCACCTGAAGGAAGCACGAGGCCTGAGATACTGCCAAGTTGCCCAAGCCTAGACAGGGGAAGTCAGGCTCGAACCACGGACCTTGTGGTCAGTAAATTCGCGCTCTAACCACTTGGACCATCTCGCTCCACGTTGGTGGTATACCCTGAATGATCTCCATTTTTATGGTTTTCTGTTGCAGCCTACCCACCCCAATCAGTTAACTCACCTCCCAGCTGTTTCAGCCTTCAATTTCACAACCTCACACATCCTAACAAGCTCCGAAAATGAACCATATTCAGTTTGGTCAGGTAGTGTACAGTCAACGACAAGAATAGAAAGGGAATGAGAACGCAACAAGTGAACACACGACTGTTTGGAGATTATTGAATGAGGCGGTTTCGTTCCCTAACTAAAAGACCAATCGGCTGGATAGATCATACACCGATGCGAGCGAAATGCTAACGAACTAATGAAATGATGTTGATAAACACATCGGAGTTGGAATGTTACGGAGGTGGCGCCGGTCGGAGGAGGTGGTTTCTGTATTGACTTGTTATCCTAGGAATTATAAAGGCCAAGCGACTCTCTACGATCATCATCGCCACTTGCCGACAGTATGCAGTAGTAGTGAGGTAACCCACAGGCAGGTATGTACTCTGAATATCATTCAAAATGAATAGGAGATGACAATAATCGCTAGCGAATCAGACTCTAAACACTATGAGAGTTGGACAAGTAGGGAAACAAGAGCTCCGGGTACATTTGAACTCACTGTTGTGGTTCCTCAACCGCGGTGTGAGGGACGTTGTATTCTTCCCGAATATTGACTTTGCTAGTATCCGTCACAGGGACGTCAATACATTCGTATGGGCTCTCTGCCGCACGCTCCTCAGCAGGTGAATGTGAGCGTGCCTTTGTCTCGGGATCCCCATCTTTGCTACGCCGAGAGACACAGCTAAAACTGTAACACATGATGAGACGGGCTGGGGTCAACGAAGGGGAATATGGCGATCCAACGAAATACAAGCCTAGGACAAAGCAAACGATGGGATGGAGTTGCACTGCTTTGCCCTTCAGATTTGGTCACTAGGACAAAGCAAACGATGGGATGGAGTTGTACTGCATTGCCCTTCAGACATGACAAAGCAACTAAGAGATGCAAAAAACACATCGGCGGGATTCAATTAGAGCATTCATCAGTACCTGTTATGCTGTGAGCCGAAGATAGTGGGAGCTCGAACGTTCTTAAAGCATCAATATTGTACACCACAGGCCATGCTATTACAGAATTCATCTGAAAGGTTTGCTCGGTGGCTAACTCGCCCCCCCCCCACAAGCACAATGCATTAAAATCACCCTTCATTGAGTGAGGGTACAGCTCAAACGGCTATAGTAAAGTCACAAACGATGAAGAACATTCCAGTAGGTGGCCGCAAGTTTGGTCTTTGCGTATTCAATTGTTCAGTTTAAAGTTGCAATGGAAGGTTGGCGGATTAAGTGCATTGATAACCTTTGAGCCAGTGGTTCTCTTCACTCACGAAAGCAAACACAGTACCACAACGAAGTCACAGAATCGAGGATGGTGGATCATTGTAGTCGAGTCTGACACTCCCTAGAATCGAATACCTGTGCCTAGCGGCGACATGGGGAATATCCACCTAGTGAATATCAAAACCAAATCAGGACGATGAGGCATAAGTCTAAAGCGTCGGACTCACTACGCAACACAGTATACGAGAAGTGGTCAAACAAATCGATCATGGCTAGTTAGGATATCAGTATTCAAGGCATTGCTCTCAGAAGTGATTGGTCTGAGGTCAAAACTAAATGATACGGTTACAAAGACCAAGAAAACGACATCAAGCCACGTCGGTCGTTGGTTCATCGACACGATGTGTGCTGTAGTGAATTGGTCCGACGTCCGCTTTCACGACGGAAAGTACTATTGCTAATCGAGGAGTCTCTGGCCCGAATGATCGGCAGGGGGAACTGAGTTAATGAACCACTTCAGTGATTGTAATGGTACCAAAGACAATGATCGGCAGGGGGAACTGAGTTAATGATTGTAATGGTACCAAAGATTGAGGCGTTCAACACATTGCTGCGAGGGTCAAGCACATCTGCAGAGGTCGTCAGGTAATTTTGATCATTGTTCATTGATAAGGGTTGCGTGAATCTCGTCCAGCACCGGTTTCCCTCTTTGATGAGATGACCAGTGATTTATACACGATCAGAGAAGTTCTAAATTGTTTATCAATAAATGAGATGCAGGTTGCCCAAGGTTAGGCAGTCGACAAGGTGCAGTTGGACACGAACGGCGGGAAGTTCTAAATTGTTTATCAATAAATGAGCTGCAGGTTGCCCAAGGTTAGGCAGTCGGACACGAACGGCGAACCTTCCGGTTAGTTAATTCGCCCATCACCACTGAGGTATCTCGGCCTTCCAACGATTGGTGGGATCGCTAGGTTTGAAAGGAAGGTACGGAATCCGTCATGCAATGATCATTGTTGACAATTGACTAGATGTGATTGTTGGTTGTACCGACGAAACTGGATATCGATCACACATGAATGACAAACAACAATGTTAAAGGACACCATCAACCAGTGCGCGGATGACACTCGAAGGAGTGTCATCACCATCAGCCTCGACACCATAACATCAGTGCTCAATACTGATACAACAATGATTTATTTGAAAGCTTATTGTAAAGAAAAGAATAAGGTTGGATGGGGGAGGGGACTTAGTGCTAGCTTAATGCAATCGTTCCGAGGTGCCCATACTTCCAGACACTCATTCAGTCAATCTGGATAGAAACTGACAACAAGAACGCCACTGACATCAATTAGCAGCCATGTCTTGCAGAGTCTCCAACCAAGCACATTGAGGATCACGCGGTCCCTATTCTGAAAGGTGAGTTGCACCGACAGCTCAGAATGAGAGCAGCGCGAATATCCTTGTTCTGATAGCAAATGGCGGCACCAGCCGGACAACTTCATTCATTGTTATAGGGGCAGTCTGTTTGAGGTACGTTACTGCTGTAAAAAAAGGCGAAATACGAGAGAGAAAATATACAACATGTGTGTGAGATTCAACCTGTGCCGTGATGAACGTTGATTGGAAGAACTACTCCAGTCTTCCAAATTCTCAGTATTGAACGGTCAGCGTAGAAACTCGAAATGTCCACGGGGGACGGAACGACGTTTGTGAGAGAGAGGTTAAAAACCATTGTGCTCTATTCAGGACAGTGCTGAAATATGACTCCGAAGGATCTGATCGCGGGAAAAGGCGGACGACTTACCGGTAAAGGGGATTGTGAATAAATTTAGCTCGTGGCTGTATGTGTAGTGCATAAAGGTGTCAGTCAGTAAGTATGACTCACTGTGGGATAACTCGAAACGAGAGGAGGAGGGATGAATCACGATAAATCATCAACCCCGATCTGGCACACGGATTCGAAAAAACCACGAGGATGAAGAATAAGATGGTTACTGACCGAAAGAGCAACCGGAAACACATGAATGGAACACTTACCTACTTCGAGCCCATCGATTCAGCCTGCCAAACATACTGCGAGAACGATGGTCGTGATGAAGAGCTGACAACTTCCCAGAATAGGCCCGAACGGCGTTGATTTGATAGTGGAGTCTTGAGGCGGAAATCGCATCGGACAAATGAACAACAACGTTGACAATGCCTTCATCTTTACGCGCATGGCGCATCACATTCCCTTTGACCGCCGGGGCAAAAGACCGGAAAGTGGAGTTCTTTAGAAAGGGAAGAAGGAAAGCCAGTACAACTTCCTGAACGTACAATATCTTTCTAGTCAAGGATTAAATTACATACACACATACTGACTACGTTACTTGCTATGTGATTCACAATCTTACTGAGACTGGCTGTATGTGTAGTACATAAATCAAGGTGTCAGTAAGTATGACTCACTGTGGGATAACTCGAAACGAGAGGAGGAGGGATGAATCACGATAAATCATCAACCCCGATCTGGCACACGGATTCGAAAAAACCACGAGGATGAAGAATAAGATGGTTACTGACCGAAAGAGCAACCGGAAACACATGAATGGAACACTTACCTACTTCGAGCCCATCGATTCAGCCTGCCAAACATACTGCGAGAACGATGGCCGTGATGAAGAGCTGACAACTTCCCAGAATAGGCCCGAACGGCGTTGATTTGATAGTGGAGTCTTGAGGCGGAAATCGCATCGGACAAATGAACAACAACGTTGACAATGCCTTCATCTTTACGCGCATGGCGCATCACATTCCCTTTGACCGCCGGGGCAAAAGACCGGAAAGTGGAGTTCTTTAGAAAGGGAAGAAGGAAAGCCAGTACAACTTCCTGAACGTACAATATCTTTCTAGTCAAGGATTAAACTACATACATACATACTGACTAGGTTACTTGCTATGTGATTCACAATCTTACTGAGACATTCCACTCATTGACTCTATAGCTAATGGACATAGCCGAGGACAAATACGCCAGAAATGCAATGCGTGGTTGTATGTGGCCTGGGATAAGGCCAGGGCACCCACGTCCAGACAAAAAGGGGATTAGGGTCCTCAACCACAAAGCCTGGGCTCGAAAGCCCAGCCCCAGAGAAGACCGTCAGAGTGCCCCACATGCTTAAGGGGCGAGCGGTCACACAAACCTCCAACCTAGAGGACCAAGAGACTGCGCTGGTCAGAATTCCACACATCAACCAAGTTGGTATGAGAGGCTTTGTGAGTGCTGCGGTGGGTGTGGAGGTGTGTAAGACGTATTACATCACGGTAACGTCTAGCCTCTTCGTGACGCCATTCGGATCAAAGAACCTTACCAAGCTGCTAAGTAGGTAATTGCATGAACTATTTCAACACACGATCTCAAAGTTTTATGGTGGACTTAGCAGCAGAAGCGTTAAGAGGGAGAGAGGTATGTGCTGGGCACTCAAATGAGGTATATCTAAACAGAAAGGTCAACTGACATTTAAGTCACGACAATCTCTGAGTTTAGGCCAAATATGTACAGTTTTTAAGGCAGCGCTCTTCCTAGTGGGTGATGACAACAACTCTGGAGAATCGGGTTGTCTCTGCCCAGTAGTATTTTACTGGTATACTTCACTTTTAGAGCAACCGAGTGAATTTGAAAATAGGATACTGGGATGTTCGCTTCATATGTGGCAAACTCGCCACATCGTATTACAACGGAGAACCCAGGGTACTCGCGGTTATATTGATCATCTGGGAGTTCAAAGCTCCAGTCAAGTGTGATCTGATCGCCAGACGATATCGTATCAAAGTCGAGTGGATGTGTTACGGGATGATAACTGGAACCATTTTATCATTTATTTTTGAAGAGCATGGTCACAAACATAAAAAGTGAGTGCAAGCGATGAATGCGAAAGAGTAACAGGAGAATATGGGCGAAAAGAGAGAAACGTCTCCTTCGAAATCATGCCAAGGACTGTGCCAGTCTGATGAGGTGAATCCCAAAGTATGTAAAAATGGGAACACGCGTCTAAGGACCAACAACCAAAGAAAGGACAAACAATGATGAATGCTCTTCAAGGCGCAGTGTGCGCTAGGACAGTCAAGACTCGCACATCAGGCACATAGTGACCGTCATACTGGGTCTGGCGTGAGATTAAGTGGCAAAAATGTACCTTCAACGCCATGTGCCACGAATAAAAGTGGATGAATCTACTAGTTGTACGGTCACACCAGCCATACATGATGTGTTTATACCTTTTCATCACAGTACAGGTTTTTCCCTCTTCGACAGGTTTAACACTTTTAAGCGGTGTGACGGATAAGCTGGGATAGCCAACAACCCAGTGTTGCGCGATACCACGCACGGAAACAGCACATAGATCAAGGAGACTCTCTACTGCGACTACACAAAAAATACAACATCGAAACCTAGTATTGATCTGCTGTTATGTGAGAATAGCATTGAATGAGTCATACAATGGCTTCCTGTGTACTTGGATCATTCCAACTTAGCAGTACTCTAAATGAGCTCAAGTGACACTTGACAAAACAGCATGATCCGGCACCTGGTGCGCACACGTGTGCTGTGAGACGTCACATGGGGTGCGAGTAGAAAGAATGGCCTCATAGGAGTAGGTCACTTACAGGATCAACCGATGCAATGGGACAGTCTCTTGGTTAGTTTGTCTAAATCACACTCAAAATCTGTTGGTGTTGCGATGAGTGCAACACACGCACACAAAATTACGCATGATATTCTTGCAAATGAACGCTGCGGTTGTTTTTGTTGTCTGGAAAATTGCCACCATGGTGATCGGTATCGATTGTGTGGTGAATGCACATCTGTGGTGTGCTTCACGGTTTGGAAGCGACCCCATGAATTCGAGATTATGCCGATGACCACCGGTGCATCAGTAGATGGACAGCCCATGAATCAACTGTGCCTGTGGAGAGATGGCTCAAGTGGCTAGAGAGCGAATTTACTGACCGGAAGGTTCGTGGTTCGAAACCGACCTCCGCCTCTCGACTTCCCGTGTCTAGGCTAGGGCAAACTGGCGATATCCTAGCCTTCGTGCTTCCTTCTAGTGGCAGGACAGCTAGAGACCGAAAGGGTGCTACAGCTGAACGGTGGCCTTCGATCCGTTCGAATTGTGATTTCGATAAGAACTAACCATGTAGTTGAACAAAATTTCGAATTTACGGGGGGGGAGGGGGAAGAGAGAGTAATAGCAGTACATTGTTACTGTCCTGTCGCGCTGTAACCATAGCCCGAAGACAGCTCTCGAAAGTGCATATGGATCTTACAAGTGGATCAGAATGATTGCTCTCATCCGAACGCTGAAGATCACATCCAACGTTGGGGGAGGGTAAATGGAGGACAACTCGGACAAACAAACCAGACAGCCGTGTACGAATCATATTATTTTCGATCCAGTTTGAATTTCATTCTATGCTGGAGAACCAACATAGTGGGTACTCCTAAATCATTCGGTTAAAACGCAAATAAGTACAATCATTGTTGAATGAAGGTATCCGGAATAAGGCCCTCAGTTTCCGAATTACGTGAAATGATGATAGGCGTGTGGCAGACCCGGTTGAAATTCTGGGCCAAACTAAGACAATAACAGAAAATGTCAGTCGGGCGGGCCACAAACAAACAAACCAATGAGACCCTATGGGTTCTACAGTTGCGTCACAAGTTAATGACGCACAATTGTCCGCTTTTTTACAAACAACCTAGTTTCGACAGAATTTACGCCTGAGTCACTCAAATGTCCCTGCAACGCACGCAATTCGCTCTCAAATTAAGTTATGCGACATTGCGGTGGCTGAGCAGATCCCTCCTTTCTAACGATCATCCCTATGACGATTCTGTCTCAAATAAGCGCTTAGGTATCAGACTATATGTCCCGACAAGCGTTGTCATGCGACCGAATTCGCCTAACGGTTTCAGAGTAGTGCTGAAGACGGAATAATTTAGTAATCTTCGCGCCAGGGGCGAGATGGCCCAAGTGGTTAGAGCGCGAATTTACTGACCGGAAGGTCTGTGGTTCGAACGCGACCTCTGCCACTCGACTTCTCCTGACTAGGCTTGGGCGACCTGGCAGTATCCCAGCCCTCCTCCGAGTGGTATGGTAGCTAGGCAGCGAAAGGGTGTTACAGCTGAACTATTATTTATTTGTTAGTTTTTTTTTAATCTTCGCTCCGTAGGAACAGTACATCTTGGCCAATAATCTCGAGTACTCTTACTAGAGCAACCGAACGACCCAACTCTCACAGGTGACCAAACAGTTTAACCTTGTACATGATACCTTGAACACAAAATAGTCGAAGATTTCTCAGGAACCTCATGAGTAGTGTGTTACGTCTAAAAAACGGAACAAGATGGCTCAGTATTTACAGCGCGAATTTACTGGCCGAAAGGTCCGTGGTTCGAACCCGACCTCTGCCTCTCGAATTTCCCTGTCTAGGCTTGGGCAACCTGGCAGTATCCCAGCCCTCGTGCTTCCTTCGGGTGGCATGGTACTGAAAGGATCCCACAGCTGAACGATTACTACTAGTAAACAACGTATTG